ATACTCCAGTCTCAGGGTGACAAATAAGTGGAATGAGGTGGATAAGGAATGGTGAAGAGTGAGGGAAGTGGTGCAGGTTAAAAGGTGGGGCCAAGATCATACACTCCACATCCTGGAAACACAATTCGGCAAGCACAAAGGATGATGTCTTTTGTTCTAGACTAATTATCACCTCACAACACTACCAGTACAACTATGCTGTTGATTCTGCTGCTGCTGCTATTGTTGCTGTTATTGCTGCTACTATTGTTGCTGCTGCTACTATTGTTGCTGCTGCTATTGTTGCTGCTGCTATTATTGTTGCTGTTGCTGCTGGTGCTATTGTTGCTGTTGCTGCTATTGTTGCTGATGCTACTGCTGTTCCTGCTGCTACTATTGTTGCTTCTGCCTCCATAGCCACTATCACCAACACCACCATCCTCGCAACTTACCCTCCGCCACACCCTCCAACATTTCGCTAGTATTAAATACTGAATTGTTGAGGCATCGATTACGCGAACTCCTGAACCTCAACACGTCTCTTAAATCCCTCAGCTGTTGGTAATCTGCCCAATGTCGGCCTCTAAATCCTACATGAAAGACGGATGTCATTCACTCACAGGCCTCGATGGTGAGGCGGCCGCTCCCTCCCTCCCTTGCTCCTCTCTCCCTCGCTCCCTAGTTCCTCTCTCCCTCACTTGCTGGGTGGGACAAATTGGCTGCCATATGCAACGTCTCTGCCAACGTTCGTGATGCCGCCGTTAACGTTCGTGATGCCGCCGCAAACGTTCGTGATGCTTCCACCCAAGGTTCGTGATGTCGCAGCTGCTAACATTCGAGATGCTGTCACGAACATTTAATATGCCGCCATCAACGTTCGTGACGTCGTCGGCGTCGGTCTTCAGTGAAGTTTGCGGTGCTGCGCGCTACTCCCGGAAGTAATCCCATTAATTTGTGGAGGGTTGAGGTGGCTTGACGCGGAGGGGGGTGAACGTAACTAGGTCTGTGTGTTACCCTGGTGAGGGAGAGAGAACAGGTGTTACGTGGCCCAGGAGACTGCCTGCATGGTTGGCTGCTCGCTTGCTTGGCTGTTTGGTTGACGGGACGAATGGTTGGTGGATTGGCAGGAATGGATTGCTGGATGGCAGACTGGTTGATTGGTTGTATATCTGGAGGGTATTCAGGGGTCAACGCCCCCCGGTCCAGTCCCGGAGAGTACAAGAACTCTGAGGCGTTTTCAACAGCTGTAATGCTTAACGTACTCTATGTAGATACTCAACAGTCTGATGTAAATAATTTAGGAAACTGACACTTGTGAAACATCTGGGAATCTTTATTACGGAAACGTTTGGCCAGCAAGCGGCTTCTTCAGTCCAATAAAGAGAAGAACAGTGGAAGATGATGAGTTTGAGGTGATCAGTCCCTCAGCCTGGAGTCGACGTGTTTAGTCCATCGTCAGTGTGTGTGTGGGAATGTTTTGAATTTCCTTTTCAAATTCTAGGTGATTTGTGCTTATGTCTGATACCTGATTTGTAGGGTGGGAAGAGGTAATGAAAGGAAGTACTGGGTGGATAGGAGAGAAGAAAGAAGGTATGGATAGAAGGTAGGGGAAAGAAGGGGAAGAAACGATGGTCAGAAGAAAGAAGACAGAAAAAAGGCAAAGCACGTAAAAAATAAGGAACCAAAGGCAGCGAACAAAAGAGATGAAGTAGGGTGGGAGTAAATTAATAAAAAAAATGTAGAGACAGACAAAAGGGAGAGCAGATAATGAAGGGAGGCGAGATAATGGGTAATGAAGTGGTGATATAATGCGTAATGAAGCGGAGGTTAGTGGGGAGAAGAACATGGAATATGAGAGGTGGGGAGGTTGAGGGGGGGGTTGAAGGGGAAATGTAAAGGGTTATGCTCTAATAAAGGGGCGGATGTAATGGAGGCTAGGAGACCCCTTACTGTTCTTGATAGGGGGTGGACGAGAGAGGGACAGGGGGCACCGTTACCCTCCACGGCGTGGAAGTACGGGATAGGAGATAGTGTAGGTAAGGGACAGACGAACTCCTACAACCGCTTCTTCCCTCCATGACGGGAGTGAAGTTAAGGGATACGTATTTTCCGACATATAAGGCGCACGACAAAGGTATCATAATGGTAAATCAGTAATTATATTCAAGGGCTAATTACCCTCTTACTTTACGCTAAAGCATAAGCCAAAGCCTACGCTTGACCCTGAGCATATAAGGCGCAGGCTGGTTTTTCATGAATTTTTGTGGGAAAAAAGGCGCGCCTTATATGCCGGAAATTTGTCACTCTCCACTAATCTTGAAAGGGGTTAAGGGAAGTGACGAGGACTTACCTCCCTTAAACTCTCACTAACTTTCCCGATGTAAGTAGCGGCAGAAGACTCGCACTAGCTTCCTTGCTCTAAATCATCGCTATTTTCACCATCACAATCATTATAACTTTTCACCATTAGAGCCTCAACTATCAACTGTTATCACCATCAGTCTCCACTAGCATCTTGCAT